CTTGAGCCACCATTCACTTGAGAGGTGTTGAATTGGCCAGTCATCAGGGGGACTGCACAAAGGAAGAGAGTTTTGAGAAGCAGAGCAGAGGTCAAAGAGGATGTTTAGGCACAGGGGATGGCTTAGGAAAAAGAAAAGTGCTGTGACAACCTAGGGGGAATAAAGTGATTCCTGATGAGATTTATCTCCAGCCATTATTAATAGAAAGTGGGAAGTGTTTTCCAGTCTCCTACAAGCTCAGCCAATTGCTGTAGTGCCTGCAGCCTGACAGTGGTGAAAAGGCATGTGAATTTTTCCTGCTCTTCAGACCTCTTGAGTCAGTATTTCAGAATCACTGTTGCTTGTGTAGAGTACCTAAATTTTTCAGAAACTACCTTGAACTGGTGCTCAGACAGACTGCTCTAAGGCCAGCCCAAGCAAAGCTGTGTACACAGTGCTGGAGGGTGGCTGGGCGCTCTAGGTAAGTGATCTTGATAGGTACATTCTGATTGATGGGTGAGTTTGTCTCCCAAACTGTCACAGGGTTTATAGAGGTGCCACTCAATACCGGTGTTGGAATTGCTTGTCAGAGCACCTGGCTACAAGAGCAATGGGGATTGGAGACAGAGCTGTAACTTTGTTTTTTCTCTGCTTAATGGCCCCAGCATCTGACCTGCCTGCTCACTCCTGTTTGTCTGGACCTTAAGGAGGCAGCTGGGATTAAGACTGTCAGAGGATTGTGCTGCTTTAGCGTCAGGAGGCTAATTGTATCGGGGCTGGCAGTGTATGACAAGTGGTTGCTTCCTAACAAATGCACAGCAAGAGCAAAGATTTCTTCAACAAGGAAAGGGAAAGATACAGGAGAGCCTGCATTTTGGTGTATTCTTTTTTCATCTGAAAGCAGTGTTTTCACATTCACATGTGGAATTACATTCCTCAGGCCTTAGGTGACATCTCTCCTTGTAAGAGTTGCAGCTGTTTCTGTGAAATAACAGTCTCCTGTAAATTTCTAGGTCAAACACACAACATTCAGTTGTCGGATTTCAGTTTATTAACACGTTGGGATAAAGTTCTGGTCCCGAGCGTTGACCTCTGGATAGTAGCAGTGGCTTCAGAGGTCCACTCTAGGCAGCATTGCTGATGGCTCGGAATTATTGCATGACCTTCAGAAGCTGAGCCTTGCTGGAGGAACCCTTCTCTGTTCCCAGTACACACTATTGAATTGCAGATCACTCAAGTGTAATGGTAGGGGGTCTTCTGGAAGCTCCCATTCTCCTCTGGTAGGTCCAAAACAATGCTATTGCAGAGGCAATTTTATTCTGCTCGACATCCTCTGCAATCCATCTCACATTTTCCTTGCTCCTGGATGGCAGCATACACTACTGGCAGGAGCTGGAAGTTGTGAGCCCTCTTTACACTTGGGCTGAGTTAGTGAGAAGCAGGTGTGATCCTGTCAGGCCTTCCTTGCATTTAGTGGTCCTCTTAATCCATTTATAACAGCACTTTTCCAGAAATCTGGTTTGAATGAGCCTGAGATAAATGAATAATGTCAAGCAGTTCAGACGTCAAATATTTGAACAGCTGCCTGGGTGTTTTCACTGGCTTTGTGCATGGAGGCATCCCAAGAAGTTAGACAAGGAGGGTCAGGTCGAAATTGTGGCACTAAACCCCAGGCCACTGGAACTGGCCTCAAAATCCATCCCTCGGCCCTGCTGCAGATGAAGGGGCATTAGGATGCCAGTGGCAGGCCATTCACTCTGCAGGTGATGCTGGACTGAGCTTTGCATCCTCTTTGCTGTTCTCTTGTGTGCAGGGGCAGTACTGCGATTCATGGACCTTTTGATTCACATCAGAAACATATTTTGTGGAGGGTTTTTTCCCCTTTTTTTTGTAAAGCAGCCTCTGAAGTCCTAAAACTGATAGCCCCACTTATATTCAAAGTCTTTTCTGGGTTTGCAGAGGTTCCTTTGGTCAGCAGTTAGCATACACTTTCTGAATCACTTTGTTTTTACCATGTTGCAGTGGACTGCACTTGGTCATGTTAAGAAGAAATCCATATTTGGCAAAAATCTAAGAGTTGGATCATCTTATTGTGGTTTCCTTTAGCTGCTGGCCTGGGAGTCCGCATTTGATCAGGAAAGAAAATGTACCCTTCTCCTGTCCCTCATCTTAACCTATGAACTTCTCTGCTACACCTCCTTTATGACTGAAATGCTCTTTCAGGTCATCCCAGTTGTATCTGTCACTGTAACACATAACTGCCTAAACCCATCGCTGTGCACTCCCTGTGTAGAGAGGAGAGGATTCTGTGGCAATGCAGTGATTCCCATTAGAGACTTAGATTCAGCAAAAGCTCTGGAATATTTTCCTTTCAGACTTAAAAGGGATTTTCTTAAGTACAAAGGTTTTGAGAGCAAGGACACCAGGATTCTGAATTCAACATACTTCAATATTTGTAAACTGTATCACAGTAAGCAGATCTTCTCTTCTTAAGCTCTAACCATAAACCACTAGTTGGCTTGAGTCATTTGGAAACAAAATTGATGGAAAGGTGCATATTTGATGTATGCTTGGCATCCTTGCAGATGGAGAGACATGGGGAGCGGTCCCACTTACACTCATTCTTTTGGACACCTTCACTCTCCTCAAGGCACTTGTTCCAAGTATTCATTGTCTGGCTAAGGTTCAGATCACCTCTGGGACTGGCCAAGTCACAGCTCCAGCTTTGCATGATTTGTGTTTCCTGCAGTTACAAGAAAAATGAAGACCTGTGTGTCCAAAGTTTATGGCCTTTGAGAAGTGATGGGCTAAAGTAATGCCAGGTGCAGGGGATGGTGTTACTGAAGGTTAAATGCCATGCCTGTAAATTACCACGCCATCACCCACTGTGACTTGAGGCAGCTTTGAAAGACTATCCAGCTTCTTTGACAGGTCTCTCTTGCTCCTCTAAATCTTCTCCCAAGCATTGTGATGAACTGAAGGAGTCAAGATTTACTAGATAAGCCATTGCAGCTCATGACATGTGTTGGCTGGCAGCATGCAGCCAGTATGTGAAGTGCTTTATTAAGGGGCCTGCTAGGTGACAGCTGCCCCAGTGACACCCCAGAGCTGACCTACAAGTGTGGCTCCTGCAGTACCTGGCACAGATGGTGGATGCTGCATTGTCAATGCTCATCGTGTTACCTCTGCTCAAGATTAAGGCTGGCAATTACTTTGAAGTAAAAGGTAGTTTATGCTTCTAGGGAAAGGTTAGTCTTAAAATCATTGCCATGCTACGGTTATCACTCGTTAAGGGCCTTCTTTATATTCAGGGAAGAGAAATATCAAATCCATATAAACAAATTTTATTGGGGGCTTAATGAATCAGTGAGAGCATCCGTTCCTGGAGAGTGACAGTAAAGAACTGTGCCTGCATGGTGTCCTTGGAAATGAGACCTTCGCCTTGCCCTGCTCTCTACACAGATGTAGGCTGTTAGATATATCGCTCACTATTCTGGGCTAGGAAAGTGCAAGTTTACAGCTGGCAGCACAAGCTTATGTAAGTCTGTTGTTGAGAGCCCAGTGGGATGAACAGACTTCGACATCTGTAGCACTAAAAGAGCTATCCTAATGCTTGGGAATGTCCTCATTCTTTGGATATGCATCTTATATTCAGTGCTTCTAGATTAATTTTAGCCTGTTGTGTCCATTCAGAACCACATTCGAAGTGCAGAAATGTAACCCCTGTGGGGAATATGTGCAAAGCCAGGACTACATCTACCTGTCTGCAGGTGAGATGTGCTCCTGGTCTAGTCACAGACATAGGTAAGTTACCAGCCATCTGGATGTGCCAGGTCCTTCAGGCTCCACCAGCTACCTGCTGTGAGCCAGGTGTCCAGGTCTGCTGCCTGGACAGTGGGGTGCTAAGTGAAGGAAGGTACTGGAGGCAGCCGGAGTGAGCAAATTTCTGCCTGCTTAGCTTCTATCCCCAAACAGCTTAGATCTGCTGCAGAATAGAACACAAATGAGGACCTTACACCACCCTAGGTTTCAGGAGATGTTTAATTTCCAGTCTCATGGGAGAGAGCATATCCAGTATTAGACCTCATAAAGAGAGATCTAAAGAGTAAAAGAGTAAATTAGTTTCCCTTCTATTAATAAACCTAAGGCAGTAAATACCATGCGAAGGTTCATCTTTGTCAGTGTTTGCACACCAATTCAAGAAAAAGAAGCCTGGTTACTATCAGCAGTAAAACAGACTACAAAATGCTTGAGAACCAAAGTAAATGTGTAAGGTTTTAGAAACTGGCAAGTGTTAAACAGTTCAGTCTCGGATGGAACTGTTAAAGCTTTAGTTGGGACTGGTCTTGTGCCTGATCCACCTATGTTGGAAGTGCAGGACTCTTTTTGACTTGCACTGGAATTTACTCACTGAAGTACTTGTAAGGAGCTGTTGGTGACTGTGGAGGCTTTCTGGGTTTTATTTTATTTCTTCCTCTCTCCTAGAAACAGGTTTCCCATTCTTATATGTTTTTGTATTGTAAAAATCTAAGCCATGATTAAATGCATTTAAAAAATAAAATGGCGTTTCTGATTGTATTTTAGTCTCTGCTTGCCCTTTGCAGCTGAGTTAAGGACTAATTCCAGCGGTCCCTATAGCCTTCTCTTACCTGTTAGTTATGCAGTTTTTGTATTAACCACTTCTCTGAAAAACCAGTCTTCCCTATTTTGCTTCTGTTTTTTTCTGCCTTTGAGAGAGCCTGCCAGTGCCATCAGCTTTAAAGTAACTCGTGGAGAGCAAAAATGTCAGTGTTGAGGGGCATTTTAGAGCATAAAATACATGAAGTTAGAGCATTTCTGTGAGTGCTTTCTCTGCAGTCTCCTAAAGATTGTTCTTTTGCAGCCTTTGGAGATGATACCTTTTGTGAGGCTGTTAAGAGTAAGGACAGCCTGCAGACTGGTGCTGTTGCACCATGCTTAGGAGATCTTGTACGCTTCATCTCTAATTCAAATGCTCATCCATGTGGTTTATTTTCTTCCAGGTTCTGGGTTTATCATGTGCAGTGGCAAGGAGAATCCAGACAGCGACGCTGACTTGGATGTGGATGGAGACGACACACTTGAATACGGGAAAGCACAGTATCATTTTTGAAAGGCTCTTACTGAGAGGGAATTTAGAGATGCATCTTCAGCTAGCTTTCCTACAGCACGTCCTGGGTATTGGTGGATAGTCTGTGTCCAGCCCTACTGGAAATGACACAGCCTTCTCCAGTTACCATGTTATTTGAAAGAGGAGGAATTCTCAGTTACCCCCTTTGAGACCTTTCTGTTGATGCAGTGCTACTTCAGACCTGGTTGGAGAGGTCTGTAGGAGATATTATAGGAGATCAGAGTTAGTGATCTATCTTCCTGGTTTATAAGCAAACCAGGAAGATAGATCAGCAAATCCATGTTTCTTCCACGTAGTACTTTTTCCTGCTTCATGGGTAGGCATTGAGTTTATTTTCCACAAGATAATCCTTTGTTTTCAGGAGTTTTGTGCGGTAAACATCTCAAGCACTATTCACCTGCCACTCCTTTCATTAGATATGGACAATCATTAAGGGCAGTTATGGGGAGCTTCTCTGTCTGGGAGCCAAGCTTTTCAGACACAGTTCTCCTCCATCAAGGAGGCATTCATGCAAGGGTATTAGGTAGACATTGACTTAGCTGTGATGAGGGGGAGTGTATAGCTATAGAATTAGACCGTATTGAAATCTGTACCGGCCTTTAAGACTGAAGCCCCAACTCTTAGCTGGTAAAAGATCTCTGTACCTCAAACAGAAATAGTGGAATTGTGCAAGGTAGGCTTGCAGAGGTTGAGGAACTGGTTTTCCCCTTCTAGAAAGCTGTGGCATCATGTCGCTGTCAAAAGACTTTTCTGTTTCTTTCCACCTAAACCAGACTTTAATCAGGAATTTAAAAGCAAGCCCCTCCATGAATACCAGCCCCTCTTCTTTTGAGGTGTTTCCAGTTGGAATGAATTTGTTCTGTATCCCAGATAGTGTCCTAACCATCTCAAAAGCCTTTCCACTATCTCCAGCAAGACTGCATGCTCCTTAATCCCTTGTGTTCAGGTACACAGAGGCAGACGTTATCCCTTGCACTGGGGAAGAGCCAGGTGAAGCCAAAGAGAGGGAAGCGCTCCGAGGTGCTGTTTTAAAGTAAGTACTGTACCTTTCTAATTTGCTTTTATTACTTTTGGGGGAATCTCAATTTATTCAACCACTCGAGTGCAAGGATCGCAACAAGAGAGACTTAGATGAAGCATAGTGTGATGGGTGGGTCTCCATTCTGCCCATGCAACTTTATAAAGCCTCTGTGTACACTCTCCCTCCCTTAACCACCCTGCTTCCCAGCCAGTGCCATCTCCTCCTCAAGAGGGCTGGACAGAAGGTGAATTCTGGCGATGGAGAAACTGTGTTGTACTAATACTTTATGCATCAACTTGCTTCACGATGAAGTGTGGCTTCTTAGTAGTATAATGTGATGCTGGCTGAATCATGTTTAGCACATTTGGAGTCTGGCACCCAGGGTATGATTTCATTACATCATATTGTATGTTGTGAGGCATGCAGACTAGTCCTTCTGCGTTTGATTCTGGTGTTGGGGAAGGATGTGTCCTCTGCCCACATACATATGTGGAGAATGTAGGCAGCCAGTATTCTGGGTGCCTGGGGCGGCTTTCAGGCAAATAAAATGAGTCTTAACACGGAGCTAGGATTGCTTTCTAAGCCCTCTGCCCTGCATAAAACAGGGCTTAAATTATCCCTCTGTCTCTTTCACGGGGTGATCTTGTGAGGTCAAGGTTGAAGTGATTGATAGAGCAGTGAAATGAAGTTTTCTTACTGCTTAGCCTGTCACAAACACTAGTTCAAAATTAGGTTCCACTCCATAGAAAAGTGGCATTTGCCACACTGGATCCAAACCACTGGTCTGTTGTATACTTTGCTAACCATGCTGGTCCATAGACAGGGCCTCAAAGATGCTGGAACTCTTTCACAGCCAGGACAGTGGTATTGTAGCAGGAGGATATCTGGGTATCCCTTGTGAGTGACTGTGGACGCATAGTGCTTGGTGAGACAGCTGAGGTCCTGAGGCCAAGAGACCAAGTGCCTTCATGTGGCTTGCACCTAATACATTGCTTCACTGTTTGGGCAGTGTCCTTGCACGTCTCCTGTATGAGCTTGTCTGCCCATCTCTAAAACAGGAGAGGTGATGCTGCTTGTAAAAGCACTTTGAAATTGCCAGGGTTTTGTAGAAACACAGTAGGGTAGCTGATGCTATGGAGCATGAGCCTGTGTTACCTTTTGAGTGCAACTGTCCTAGCACATAGAGCCAAAATGTTATACAGCCACAGGTGTGCAGCCTGCTCAGAAGATTCCTTTCTCTCACAGTCTCTTGCTGGCTTGCAAGTGAATAGACAGGGTTTTGAGTTGTCTGCACTTCAGCGCTGCTGTTCTTCAGATGGGAAGATGGAAAAGATGGGGCTTATGAAGGTGTAAAGTTATTCTTAAAGGGAGAAGCTATTGCAGCACTGAGGATTTCTGTTCACAAGTAGGGTTTTCAGAGTAAGGTTTTCATCTTTGAAATTGTGTATTCAAAAACGAGCCTTAGGTCACAGATGCTCTCTGAATCCCAGGCCTTCAGTTAACATCACTATCCCCATGTGATTCAGCAGAGGTCGCAGAATGTGGATTAGCACAAAAACACCTGGAGCAGACAACTGCTCACATTTTGAAGCCTAGACTGATGGATAGAAGTATTGAGAGAGAACTGCTGGGTGGAAGGGGTAGCTTTTCCTGAGCAGCAGAACTTTCCATGTCCAACCTTTAACATTCTGCCCTTTTCTCTTTCAGTGGTGGCACACCCAGTACCCGAATAACACCGGAGTTTTCTAAATGGGCCAGCGATGGTGAGTGTTGAACTTATGAAATATTAATGTGTGTGCTGCAAGAGGGCAGGTAGATACTCCGTATCTTCCAATTGCCAATAATTAGGCAAACCATAGTTACATATACTTTAGCACAGTAGCAACAGATATGTATGCACGTACAATCACACGGTCTTTGTGAAGCTTTACCACACAATCAGCTGGAGTCAACGACAGCTGAAGGAGTTCCCAAAAATGCAACCTTAACTGATACAGTGATAAGAGATAGGGGTTGGATTGACTTGCTGTCGTGTCACTAAAAGACAAACTGCTGTATCACAGAGAGGGCCATCAGAGCTCGACTGTGTGATGGCAGAGTTCAGCTGCTGGGCAGTTAAACTACACAGGCACCAGCTGTTTAGGTCTTTTTCAACAACTTTTTTACCATCCTTGCTTCTTTAAAAGGGTGTGCTGGGGACTTGTATCATGATCTGTTGGGTAGGTCTTGTCCTTGCCTGCCTCTGTAGGGAAAGAAAAGCCTGCAGCTCTGAAGCCTCCACCTTTGAAGTGGGACCTCTAGAATCTGTCCTACTTGATGACCTGTTGTTGAGACTCCAGCGCGAACGAGTGAATGTGACATTGTACCTATGCATGCATTATTTGAGAGCTCATAGCATTAAGGGTACAAGGGTGTTAAACCCATTGGACTGCTGTGTTTTTTTATTTAATGCCTGTAGCACTGGAAGTGTAAGCAGCAGCCTAGTGGAAATATGAGAATGATAAAACCTGGCACTTTCCAGCTGTAGATGCCAAATCCATTTCCAGAGCTGGGCAGTGCTACTCCAGCTCCCTTAGGAAGGGAACTGAAGCTCGGCGACCTGAAGAGACTTGTCCCAGTGATTTTGTTCACTGTTCTTTTACTGTAATGCTTTGGGCATTTGATTCCCAGCCTTGAAAGTACCTACAAGACATAATTGCTTGTCAGTGGGAGGGGGGTGGGTAGAGCCATTTTGCCAAAGGCATGATGATGAAATGGAAGAACATAGGATATCTATCGCAGGCATTTTCTTCTGTGGGATAGGCAATCTCATTTATTTTCTGTGATGTAGGAACAGTTGCCTTTAGGTGTGTTCAGCTTCAGTAACTACAGCCACAGAGGTGATGAGGAAGGAGCCCTAATGACATTTGCTATAAGCTGTTTTCTTCATACCTTTTACTCAAAGCCACTGTACTGAACCTACAGCTCAGGGGCTCACCCTAGGACAGTTCACCTGGCTCATCTCCAGCTGGTATCTCACACCTCCTCCAGTGCTGGGAGGAGCCATAGGATTGCAAGTACTAGGAGACCTGTGAGCAGACTCTTCTGTCATACTGGTTACCTGGCATATATTGTCAATGTCTGAGGGGTCTCAGAAAAAGGGAGAAGCTGAGAGCAGGGGTTTTGCTCCAGAACCAACTTTTAAGAAGTACGCTTTGGCGTGGCAGCCACATCAGATCATTCTGAATTAAATCCTGGCTTGAACAAGTGCTACATCTGTGAGGGTCAGAAAGTACGAAGTGGGGAGACCGTTGGAATTGTATTTTCAGCCCTGAATCATAGAAGCGTGCTTTCCAAAGAGAGGGCCTCCCTCCCAGACAGGGACACGTAGCATCAGTCTCTCCTCTCTCTTTCCAAGAATCAGCATGAAAGTAACTCATAGGGATCCTCTGCTTCTGAAGCTGTAACTCACTCAGACTGTTTCATTGCAAGGATCAAATGCCCTCTTACTAATTTGTCTGTTCTTCCCCAGCAGAAATGCCCTCAACGAGTAATGGCGAAAGCAGTAAACAGGAGACCATGCAGAAGACCTGTAAGAACAGTGACATTGAAAAGTGAGTGTAAAGTGGATAGCTTTCATTTTTCTTTTTTTAAAAAACCATAGCGTCTCACCTGGTGTTCCCAGAAGCAATGCTACTCTGAGGGTAGGCATGTTTGAAGCTTTTAGCACTGAGAAAAGAAGTTGTGCTCCAATGTGAAGCCTGGACTTGGAGCTGTTGGTGTCCTGACTTGCTGTTGCTGTGTCCACAGAGGGCCTGCGGGGCAGTTCTTCCCCAGATAACCTGCATGGGCAGGTACCCAATCACAAGGAGTTGAGCAGAACTTCCAAATGGCTTCTTCACTGCAAATTGCCTTCTTTTAAATCATGTAAATAGATATATCCATGTTTTCCACCATATTTTAGTTACAGTGTGTTTTCAAATATGTTGAGTGATGCATAACAGCCTAGACTAGAGCTGGGACTTTGAACAGGAGGTGAAGATTCAAACCCACTTTAACATGGCCAAAGCAAATGGCTTGTCAAGCTGTACTTATTTTTTTATTGTTCTTACTCTCTTTGCAAGATTTCTGCTATAAATGTATCATGGGATCCTGCTTTTACCGGAGAAGTTACCTTATCTTTCCATCTTGGGTTTTGAGAGCATTCCTTCACATGGTCTCTATTCTGTTTTCTCTGTGGTACTTGCATTTTTCACGCTCCTTCTCTCCAGCAAAAGGGAATCCCAGCAGCCCTGTAACTTGACAGAAGCATCACTGAGATAATTTCTTTTCATTTAGGATCCAGATTTCATCTTTGTATGGTTGCTAATGGAAATAAGGCCTCAGTTCCTGAGGTTTTCACCTGCAGCCTTTCCAGTTGATTCAGAAGTGTTGGAATATACAATAGTGCATTTGAATAACAACCTCTGTCCTCAGCCTCCTTTCACACGCTGCTATGGTGACTTATTGCTCAGGCAGATTCGACAGTCCAAGCCTAAAACTGCAGGCTCTTCACTGCTGCCATGGACTGCATTAATTGATGTGTTTTAAGTTGATTGTTGCCTGACATAAAATGTTCCCCCAAGATCAAGTGGGAGACAAAACAGCTCAAATGAGATGGAAGCAATGAGGTAGTTATGGGTTTTAAACAGATGGCATTTACATTTTGAGGCTGAGACCTATTGATAATTTGTGATTGAGGAAAAAAATCTGGTGATAGCGTTAAGCTGATTTCCTGTAAAGTTGGGGGTTTTAAATATAGTTTGTTCTCCTTCTGCCTCCTGGTCCCAATTTGCGTTCCTGGCACATTTTGGGATCTCTTGATGGTTCAGCCATCCTGGCAAAGCATATGTTCACAGTTAGGGGTTAACTGGGAAACTCCCTGCTGCAAGAGGAAACTTTAATACTGCTTTGCTGTCTCGGCACTTTCCTTTTTAGAAGGCTTTTTATTAGCATGTCCCAAATATGGGCTGTCTGTGCTTCTCAGTGAGCAGACTGTCCAAGGACCACTGAGTTTGGCCTTGCAGGTCAGTGCAGAAGCAGCTTTGTCCTTAGAGTGAGCAACCACTGCATGCTGTCTTGGTGGCAAGGACTCATCCCTTCTGCCCTAATCTGTCAGCCTCTGTCTCAGCCACTGCTTGGCTTCCCTTTGGGCCTCTTGCCTGTCAGCCCAGCAGCCCTCTAGCCTCCCAGATCCACTCCTATTGAAAATCTTTAAACTGCAGGAGCTGAAAGGATTTGACATTTTCCAGAACACTTGAGCTCAAGTGATAAAATTGACATAGCTTTAATAATCTGATCAAAGAGGCTTTAGCTTGCACCTTTTGAAGGATCCCGGAATCCTTTCCAAACAACACTTGTGCTAACACTGCTGTGAAGTACAGGGAGCACGTATGTGCGTGTGTGCGCGCACATGTACGCACACACACCTTGCTCTGCAATAACCTTCCCCCACTAAAGCTTCAGTTCCACAAAAGGTCCAAAATGTCAGCAAAACCTAATAGAAATTACAGGAAAAGCCTTAAGTGCCTTGCTGAATGTTTCCAGTAACGTTGAGTTTTTTTGGAAGTAGAAGGTAGAGGTTTTTATTTAAGGCTTTTTATTTCACCATGGTTCAGAAAACAAGATGGTGTTTCAGGTGGAGAATTCCTTCTTTCCCCCCCCCCCCCTCCTTTCCTTTTGAGATTTGTGTGTGATAAATAGTTTCTGTCCTGCCATTTAAGGAGTCTGAATGCTCTGTGTGCTTGTCTGTGTAGAGGGGTTCTGTTAAATTAATTGATAACAGGGATCAGAGCTAGAAGCCTACAGAAAAGGAGGGGGAAGGGTTTCACACTGTCTGACTGCTTCCCACTCCACTGCTGAGCCATGATATATGGCGACCCAGCCCAACAGGCTAAATTGATTCATCTCCAGTTCCTGTTTCTTAATCTGGAGCTAAATTGGTTTCATTTTTCTTGTTTTGGGCGGTGCTTACAGGAAGTTTTTGGCAGCATCACTTTACTCCATTGTTTGTAACTTTAATTTTTGCCTTTAAATCTGAGCGGTATTGATTGGCATGTTAAACCCTGCGCAGCATCTGATTAGCATTTTTTAAATTGTCCACAAGCACATGGCTTACCTCTTGTGTCAGCCGTGCTCTCTCTTCAGAGCAGTGCCTAATAGAGTTAACAGCGATCCGCTATTGATCCTTCTCTCATAAGAATGACGTTCCTTCCCCCTCCCCTCTTCCAAAAATAAGCCTAGCAAGGAGGGCAGTGTGGTTTTGTTTGGGTTTTAATCCATTAATACAGTACAGCAGGTAGTCTTCCTTTTGACACACTGCTAAAGCTCTGCTTAGGTAAGTTAATTTAGTCTAAACTTAGGGTCTGGTGGAAGTCTCTTGCATGTTGAATAACTAGATGGGGTTTGGGGTAAGTCTGCCTTTGTTGCTTCACGCCTTGTGCCATGCCAGGTCATCAGTAGCTTGGGAAGGTTGACTTCATCTATGTTGAATGTCAGATGGCAGCCACAGGTAATGAGACATGATGCTGGTCCCAGCATATCCTGGGTCCTTGGTAGCTTGGGCAGATTTTTCACTGTCGGGCTCACCTGTGTTGCATTGAACTTCAGGTGGCAGCCATAGGTAATGAAGGAAGTTGTCCTGGTCCCAACACTGTGGGGTGTCTCAGCCCTGCTGAACCTTTCTAATCTCACCAATGCGAGGTGTCTGGGAGAGACACCCTGAAGGTTCATGGGGAAAGCATTGCACTGGCTGCAGCCCATCTGCTGAAGACTTGACTCTGCCCATCTTGAGTCTCTGAACTCAAGATGCAGCTTTGCTCAGGGAGAGCAGCCAGCCCCTAGTTGCGCAGGTATCCTCCTTGGCTCCTCCACCAACATCGTACTCTCAGCCAAAGCACTGTCACGCACAGAGAGCTGCAGAAAGCACTTTCCCCACAAAAAGTCTTCCTCCCCCCCTCCCTCCCACAATGCTGCTTGCAAGGGTCTGGTGCCATTTTGAAACTGAGGTTTCCCGGGGTTAAAAGCCAGCATCTTAATTCAGAGTGCCAATGTTCAATTTTGCTTTCTGCCACCAGACTAGATTGCAGGCCAGCGAGAGAGTCTGGGTTAGTGGCCCACTGGGTCACCTCCCATTTGTTTTCCTCAATTTTGTGTTGTCATAAATTCATTCCAGCCCGTTGTGGTTGATCAGTTTATCTCCGCCGGGGCAGGGAGCGCTGCGAGCATGATATATGGCACAGAGCATTGTAGCCAGCCTCTCCATGAATCACTCCAGCTGTTTGGTGTCAGCCCCAAAGCAAACAGGACCCGGCCGCTGAGCGTTGACTACGATGAGCTCAGTATGGGAAGAGACATGACGTATGAATGTTTATTTAATAATTCTCTAATATTTCCAGCGGAGTGTGGCTGTGCCTTCTGGGAGGGGTGAAAGGCGGGGGGAGGTTGAAGAGGGAAACTCTAATCTGTTGGGGTGGGTCATAAATCAGGCAGACAACATCATTAATCAGGGATGGGACAGAAGTGGAAGGAGGTGGGACTGGAGCTGCCATCCTCGGTGGGAAGGGGGCTGTGCTCTTCTTTTTTTTTTTTCCTTAAAACAAATCTTGTTTCTGATTCCGCTTGGCCCCAGCCACGCCACCCGCATAATAGCAAACCCGGACACAAGGCTGGTTAAGTGAGTATGCTACCTCTGCTTATAAACCTCCAATACGAGCCTGCCAAGCATTAAATCCCTTTATAATTATCTTCTTTATATAACACTTCATGCTCATCATGCTTCATTGGATGAGACACTCCTTGGGTTAAAAAGAGGGGTTTAGAGACAAAAAGCAATTGTATTTGTTTTATTTTTCTTGCCTCCTCTTTCCTCCCCCTCCCTCCCACCTTACCTCTTTCCAGTCCAGCTGTTCTGAAAGCATCAGTTCCAAAAGGGCTCTGGTGTGGCAGCACAGGAAGGAGCATCAGTTAAAATGAAACAAAGTTTGGTTTGGGGTCCTTGTGCAAAGAGTCAAGTGTGTGAGAGCAGTTGGGGGGACAGCAGTGTCTGTCCCGGGGACCCTCCTCCTGGGCAGACAGGTCAAGATGGGAGCAGAGTAAGTGTGAAGCCAGAGGATTAGTAGAGGCCTTAAAGCGAAGGAGCCATGCTTAAGCTGGTGCATCAGATGGAAACAGAAGCTGTTGTGAATTGACACCAGAGGATAAGTGCTTCTTAGCCCTTCGCTATAGTGTCACACCATTAATAGGCTTTGGTGGGAGGCAGGAATGTCATATAGCAAAGACAGAATCTAAAAATTAGCTTGAGTCATAAATGAACTAACCCTTTGTGCTCTGCTGAGAGAGAGCATCCTCCTGGTGTGTCCAGTCCTAGATCAGCCCATGTTAACTTGAGACAGGATCCAGGAAGCTGAACTGAAACATGGGACTGTCAGAGCCAGGCTGAGAAAGCACTGCTGGGCTGTGCTGCTTGTGTTCCAGATTGTTGTCTTTACTAGGTTTTACTCCTTCCATTCAGTAATTCACTAGTGTGTAATACATGCTTGTAATGTATACTGGTGTTCAGTGTTGAAACGGTGCA